AGACCTTACTAAAGGCCAGGAAAAGAAGGCCTTTTAAGGAGGATGCAGTGAGTGCTGCTAAGAGATCAAGGAATATGAGGAACTGAAATAGTGACCTCCACAAGATGCCTAAACTTTGCTGATATTGTATAATAAGTCTCATGCATCTTCTGAATTGTCTGTGTCTTTTGCCTGACTCGGAGGGGGTGTGGCTGAGTTAGATCCAGCACAAGCTCCTAGAGACCTGGCTTCATTCCAGCAGCAATCAGCATGGCATAATAAACAAGACCACTATAAGAAAAACACATTTTTGACAAGGTATTTATTACCAAACGCTTTAAAATCAGAGAGACTCAAGTGCGCTCACATCAAAAACCATGAAGCATGTATTTCTTGTGCAATGCTGTAAAGATAGGTATCTAATAAATCTTGGTCTTCAGAACCAAAGCTCTATGAAATGTACTATTGCCTTTATTTAACATAGACTGTTGAAGGTACAGGAATCTACCAGCTACTGAAAACTGCAGAACCCTACCCCTGGTGTATCTTTATTTGTGGAAGATATATTCTAAAAAATGTGCCATAGAACAGGATGAAAGTCATTTTCTAAATTGAAATTATAAAACTTCATTATCAAAACTGACATTTTTCAAGATAAAAACAGAGCACATTAATGATTAATGAACTCAACAGAAAGATTCCAAAATAAAGTTTCTACAAATTTAATTCTCTTAAACAACTGTAAATATATAGTATATATAGCTTTACTTGAATTAAAAATTCTCAAGGCCCTCACAAAGTTACTCTTCATCAAGAATAAAATTCTACATATATGGGAATTAAATTCAGAAAAAATTTAGTTAACATATTGAATGTAATTAAACATTGTTAAAATATCAAAACAGAGCAGTACATTTCAGAGTATATATGTGTAGTGATTTTTAAAGCTCTAGTGAGACACACTCTAAAATGTAGCTAAGCAATGTATTAATAATGTATTAGTCACACAATGTAGTTAAGATCATTATAGAAAAATAAATTATATATATGACTGATATATAAATCTATATACATAAATACATATAATTTCCTCTTATTGGATTTTAGGAAAATATGTGTCATAGTTAATTCTTTCTATATTGTATTTTATTTACAAGTTAAGGACTTAATAAATAATTATTTGGTATTAAATGGTTCAGAAGACTTACTCATATATGCTGTACTTTTATATACATTATTGCATTTTTAAAAAATCTATAATTTTCAACAACAAACCTCAGAAGTAAATATAAAGGAAATTTCTTCTCCCTTAAATCTCGGATCCTGTAATCAGATTAATCTTCCTAAAATTATTTCATCTTATTAGTGCCACATAAATAATTATTCAGTGGCTCCCATTTTCTACAGAATGAAATTGAACTCTTTATTCTGATATTCAAAATATTCCATGCTTCGGCCTCAAACTTTATTTTCAAACCAGGCCATGCTCTTCACTGACTCAGTATCAGCAAAGCTCATTCCAACTCTGAGCTGTGTTCCTCACTTCCAATGCTCCCCTTTCTCATCTTCAAATCCTATGGCTTTCTTTCTTTCTTTCTTTCTTTCTTTCTTTCTTTCTTTCTTTCTTTCATTCATTCATTCATTCATTCATTCATTTATTTATTTATTTATTTATTTATTTATTTATTAGGCTTCACACTCAACGTGGGGCTTGAACTCCCAACCCTGAGATCAAGAGTCCCATGCTCTACTGACTGAGCCAGCCAGGTGCCCCAAACCCTATGCCTTTGACTCCCACCTCCCCTGTGTAAATTTCCCTAATGTTTCTGATGCCTTCCTCTAATCTGGTCTTTAACACTCAGGTTGGCTTTTAAATAGCCACGCTCATGTACTATTACCAAACTAGTTTCTGTTTTTAAGACTTGTCTCTTCAACTAAATGGGAAATTCCTTGATTAGTGCCTTTGGTGCTTAGAACAATCCTGAGTATATAATTATAAGCACATGCTAGTATCATCTTAATCACCTCTGACATTTTACTTTATTCTTAACAATTTTTCTTTCCAACTACAGGAACAGCACAACTAAAGGCCAAGTTTACTGTTGCTGTAGTGTCTCTCATTCTCTCCAGAAGCCAACTGACTTTGCTCTTTGCTCCCATTATTAATGCATGAACTGTGCAACTAAAATACATGGAATCTGGAATTTTCTTCAAACCAGGGGCTAATACCTTTAATTTCATCAAGTCTTAGGTAAGTTTCTGTCTTTTGCAATAAATGTATATTTACAGATAGATTTTTCCCCTTTTAATGGAATATTTTGAATGTTCAATCAATTTCTCTGAAATTATAGAGCTTTAAAATAACTGCCGGTTTCCTTCCATTGAGTGTGATGTTTTTTCCTTTTTTCTCTCCTTTCCCTAACTGAGCAAAGGGAAGGGGGTATAGAAGTGGTAGGATATATGCTTTTTAAAAGGCCACCCCGGGCTGGGTATAGAAAAGCATGAATTATGGTCCTAGCTTCCTCTACTGCGTAGGCAGCTTTGCTCTGCTTAAGACTGTTAGGCTTGAGGTTCAAATCTACAAATCCAAGGCAGCTGTAATCCCAAACCAGCATGGTTCTCTTCCTCCGTATTACTGTAGCACCCATTTATTAATCACCTCCTATATGTCAGATACCGTATTGGTTGCTTTATATATCATCTAATTATCATAATCAAGTGAATCATGATTCCCATTTTACAGAAGACAAAAGGCTTACAGAGGCTTAGAGATGTTAAGTAAATTTGAACAACTAGTAAGTGGCACAGCTAGAGTTTGGATGCGGAACTGATTCTAAAGCCTCTGCTCTTTTCACTACACCTTGCAATGTCAGTGCCTTGTATTGCCAGGAATTCTGTTTTGGGAATGTTGGGGCTTGTACTGATAACCTTGGCAGCTATTGGGAAGGGCAGAATAATAATAAAATGTTTCAGTGTGTTTGAGGAGGCTCACTAACAGGCCTTTCCTGCACACACTTACTCCAGTCTTCGTTTATTAGGTGTTCCCCACTCTGACCATTTACATTACAGTTTACACCAAATTTGGCACTGTCCCTTTTGTTATGGAACATATGATCACATGTCTTGGTAGGTGGAAGGAGAGTTGGCAGTTTTTACCTTTGTCAAGGCTCAAGACAAAAACAACAGAATGAAATCAACACAACAATAAGAATATATATACATATATTTCATATGTATATTAGAAATTCTCCCTGTAATAATAGATCACAAAGTTAAATAAGACTATATAGTCTTATTCTGACATATGAATTTCAACCTTCAGCTGTTACTTATTTGAAGAACAGTCAATAGAAGGAAATTCCAGTGTGACAAGAATTTTGACAATCCCTCAGTATTATCTCTAATGGGATCTAGTTACATTGTGATCTTCCAGGAAGGATGTAGCTGTGTATGTATGTTTTAATCTGGCAGTTACTCTTATTCTAGTCATACTGTATGTGGCGATTCCTATTGCTGTTTTATTAGGACCATGGGAGGAGAGAGGCTATTCTTCCCCATTTTTCTATACTTGAGAGTTTACCGCGTAATGTTCTTTTAGTAATTTAAGAGTCTAAAGATTTCTATGCTGATTTAACCAATGTTTTACATTTAGTTGGGCAGAAGTTTATTAGTAAGTATTTGCCACCAAACAGATCTAACTGTATAAATATTATATAATTATATTAAGGATAATTTGTGTTTGAGTCAATAACCTTTCACTCTTGTATCATTTTAATATTAGGTATTTAAAATGCTTTTATAAATCAAATTTTTTTGGTGTGTTTAAAAAAATAACACTAATTTAGTAGGAGACTAGGGTGCAGTTTTCAATGGCATTGACAGTTATGGTGCTATAGAAAGAAACTATACCTGGAATCTAACTTTATTATAGAGTCTTGGCTCTGCCTCTTGATTTTTATCTTGGAGAAATCACTTCATCCACTTACTCATCTACAGGATGAGAATCATAATTTCCATCCCGCAGTGTTTTTTATGAAGACGATATGGCATATAGGAGCTGTTCTGTAGAGGCAAAATTGGGTTTAAGGGACAGGGGCATGGCAAGGAACTAGACATCTCAGAAGGGAGAGGGGAGGGGCTCTTTATGGAGTTTGAACTAAGCATTATTAGTCACAGAGCCCAAGTGCTATGTATGGTAGGCCTAGAATACCTCTCCCTGAAATTCTACTTCCAAAGACCAGACTTCCCTACTGGGGGTGAACTCAACCCCAGGGCATATTTTGTGATTTTTGTCCTTGTTGCCCTTCCCCCCAAGATTGTAAATTTTGGAGAAGCCATTCTTTCACCTTTGTATCCTCTGGGAACCAAACAGATCATTAGTATAAGTGCTTAATGTGTTTGATATTAGACAAAGTCCCTATACAGAATAGGGAATCCAGTTAGCAACTGAATAACCATTATCAGTATTTAAGTTAAAGCCAATTTTAAGTTCTTCCTTCTCTCCAAAGGAAAGAACAGTGGTGTTTTTCCTAAAAGAAAATTTTAAATTGAATCGGGTCGCGTGTTCAGCTTAAAGCCTGCAAAGAAATAGGTGCAAGGTTGGGGAGGACGATAATTAACCATATTTCGGTTGTGCTCTGGCTCAGGAGGAGCCCTGGCGCTGGTCCCAACAGGAATGCCCGTCCCACCCAACCCGAGTTGTGGGGTGCAAAGCAGACAGTTGTCTCCGTCCCTCCAAGCCACTGTGGCTGGGTTTCTGGTCTTGAGAGATGCAGATGAAGTGGTGTGAAGGGTTGGGCTTTTTTTTTTGTTCCTAAAAATGCAACGAACAAAAAAAAAAGTACAACAATCCAAACCCAACCATCTTGTTGCGCGCCAGCTTTCTTCCCGGGTGGCTCCACCGGGGACGGCGCCGCCTCCTGTCGCCCGCGCTCCGTCAGGCCCAGCCCACGAGTCTTAGCGAGTCGTCAGCCTGCCAGCGCCCAGGCTCGGCGGGCTCTGGGCACCGCGCTCCGCGCCGCGCGCAGCCCCTCTGTAAGGGAGAGAAGCGAGCAGCCCGGGACCCTCCCCTCTTCCAGGCGCACCGCGGTGGCAGTTATTGGTGGCGGTTGTTGACACCGGAAGGACTCCCGCCTCACCTCACCCACCGCCCCCCACCCCCACCCCCACCCTGGGAAAGGCGAGACTCGGGAGACAGAACAAAGGCGAAGCCCGGCCGAGAAGGCGGACCGAGGTGCCGGGAGAGGAGGGCGGTGGGGCGGGGCACGGCTGGCGCCGCGAGTCCATTTTGCCGCGGTGCCCAGCCGGTAACGCGCGGTCCCCGCTGCTGGAGGACAGGCGGCCGCGCGGCTCCAGGTGGGGCCCCTCCCGCGACCCCCTAAGGTCCGAGATAAGTACCCGCCGGGTCCCTCTCAGGGTGGGGGGGGGGTGATTCTTGGGCCGGCTGCGAGGGTGGGGACTTGCCCTGGCAGAACAGCGACCTGCGTGGGTGGGGGGCTGGCGGAGAGCTCACTTTGAGCTCCACAGCGGCAGAGCGGAAACCAGCTGGGCGCTGGAACTGGGCTTGGGGTGGAGTGGCGTGCAGGGGGCGTCCGCTGGGCCCGTGCAGCGTGTCTGTGTTCCAGAAAACCTGCTCCGCTACGGATTATGACCGGCTTCACTGCCGGAGCCTCGGTATCGCCTAGGAAAGAAAAGCCGACCATGAATCACAAGTCGGAGCACTCAGCACTTTCTGGCACTGAACCTGGAGAGGTGCCTGGCGCCGGGGGAGGGCGCCCTAACCGGGAAGCTCCTTAGTACTGCACAAAGATCTCCAGCCATGCTCGTGGCTTTTTCACCAGGTCCTAGCACGCTGGCTTTATTTGTGGGGGACGACTGAAAAAATTAAGGGTCAAGACTAAGGGTCCTGTGCAAATAAATGCATAATACTCTCTTCTTTGTTCTTTCTTTGCAGTAGCCTCGTTTGATTGTCAATCACAACGTGAGAAAAAAACAAAAACCTGATTGCTTTGTCCTGGGAAATAGTAACCCTGACGAATACACCTGCTCGCAGGGGACAGAGGTAAACTACAATACTTCTCCCTACATTAAGAAACCAAAAAAGCACCCAGTTTTTTTTTTTTAAGCCCAGAATCATGCAAAATTGAACTAGGTGTAGAATGTGTTCCCATCCTCATGGGCGGTCTCTGTTCTTTTCATATTTTTTCAAAACTCAGGAGAATAGATTCAGTATTTGGAAAATCTTTATGTAGCAATTATTCGACATGTACTGCAGTCCACAGATTTATAATGAAAAGGAAAAGAGAGGCCTTAGTAGCATTTCTTTTTTTTTAAGATTTTTTTTTCCTTCTCCCATACCGTGCCGCTAGGACTTGTACAAATACTGAGTTTTCTAACTCTAGAGACTTTTATACAATAGGTATTTTAAAAGCAAAATTTCATTTACATAGCCACTCCTTCTGGTAGAACTTGATGGAGCTGTTGATTAACTGGTTATACTTATGTCTTCCACAATGAGAAGGTACATTTCTTCAGGCTCTCCTTTTCTTAAAAATACCATCTTTTTTTGCACTAGCTGAGATACTAAGCCTCCCTGGTAAGTCCTTCCATAACACCAGGTTATTCTTTCCATTCTATACACTTATGACTGGCTGGTTACCTGGTCTTACTTGTACCACAGCTACTGTTCAGATATGCCCGTTTCCATGAAAGTGCTTTGTACCTGCTATCCTATATAATGCTTTACCTTTTCATGAAATTGTAGTTCAAGAGAGTCTGGCTCTTTCAGGACCTTTCTTGGTTAATATACTCATGCTCTAAAATAACACTTTAAATGTGAATTTACATTTTGTGTATTTGTACCCAACTGTAATTAATCCACTTTACCTTTATATAGTTTAGCAATTTACAAAACTGGCACTCATTACTTAATATTCCCAGAAACATGATGAGGTAGATAATGTAAAAATCCTCATTCTATGAAGGCTAAAACTCTTTGCTTGAAGTTAGGTATTCAGAGACAGGTTCAGTGCTCTGTTTCGTCTACTAGAGAGCCTGTTATAGCCTAATTTGTAAAAATCATAAAATTTTAGAAGGGATTTAGAGAGCCATGATTAAACTTTTCCATTTTATGAATGAGAACACTGAATTCTTGATCCACTTTCTGGATAGTGCTAAAAGTCTAAGAATTGGGGAACTCAGGTCCTAAGCCTAGCTTGCTTTGTATAATTGGGAAAGCTCCATTTTTGGAGTTGGGGGGGGCTCAGTTTTTTCAATTATAAAGTTAGGTGTTTTCTAGATGGTCTCTAAGATACTTTTAGACCGAGTGCTTTTTTAAAATTTTTTAAATTTTATTTTATCATGTTATGTTAGTCACCATACAGTACATCATTAGTTTTTGATGTAGTGTTCCATGATTCCTTGTTTGTGTATAACACCCAGTGCTCCATTCAATACATGCCCTCCTTAATACCCATCACTGGGCTAACCCATCCCCCCCCCAAAACCCTCTGTTTCTCAGAGTCCATAGTCTTTCATGGTTTTTCTCTACCTTCGATTCCCCCCCTTCATTTTTCCCTTCCTACTATCTTTTTTTTAAAACATATAATGTATTATTTGTTTCAGAGGTACATAGACCTAGTACTTCTATTTTATTCCTACTCCAAAACTTTTATTACCATATATTCCCTTGTACATATTGGTAATCCTAAACACATATTAATATTAACTGCCTTAAACTGTTTCATATTTTAAATTTGGGTAGGTATGGTAAAAATGTCTGCCTTATTCTTGGTGTTTTACTAAACTATAAAAGTGTGGTTCTATTGTAAGATCAGGAACTGCATGGAGAAGTGGGGCACTCATACATCATTGGTTAGAGTTCATAAATTGGTATACCCCTTCTAGAAGGAAACCTGACAATCTTTTCAAGGTCTTTAAAAGTGTTTCTACTCATTGACACACCTAACAGTACACTTACAGGAATCATCTAAGGAAATAATCAGAGCGATGGACCAAGACTTTTCTACAAGATGTTCACTTAAATGTTATAATCCAAAAAGACATATAGCCAATAAGAGCATATCCATAAGATGGACTATCACATTTTAGAAGAATATATAATAATAGGGGAAATACATGTGATAAAGTAAGTGAAAAATGGTGGATACAAAATTGTGTGAAGCTACCAGTTTTGTTAAAATAGGTATGTGCACAAACACAACACACACAAGATTGGAAGAAATAAAACAAAACAATAATAATGGTTATTCCTTGCTGATGTGATTATGGGTGATTTTCCCCTGTACTTTCTGAATTTTCTATACTCACAAATTACTTTTATAGTTGGTTGCTTGGATAACCTCTCTAACTTCAGTATGGTGTCCACTTTCTATGTCCTTTTTTTATAAGGCATTTATCATACCTTTTAGAGGAACAATATCTTTGTAAATGTGCTGTATTTCTGAATTTAGGGTAGGAATTGACTTTTGGCTTATATTTCATCTTTTTAAATATCATTAGGTCATTGGATTATTCATTCTTATTCATTAAAGACACTGCCATCTTCATTACCTTGGCCTTGAACTCTGGATACTAGAATGGTACTGATGAATAGAGTGCTATACCCACTTCTCATAACAATTAACCCAAATACAGGTGTCCTCTGACATACAGAATAGTTTCAGTCCCATTAAGCCTTCTATAAAGCAATTTCCTATAAACTTTTTAAAAAAATCATTTCCAGGGCACCTGGGTGGCTCAGTTGGTTAAGCATCTGCCTTCGGCTCAGGTCATGGTCCCAGGGTCCTGGGATCAAGCCCCACATCGGGCTCCCCGCTCGGTGGGAAGCCTGCTTCTCCCTCTCCCACTCCCCCTGCTTCTGTTCCCTCTCTCGCTGTGTCTCTCTGTCAAATAAATAAAATCTTATTAAAAAAATAAAATAAAAAATCATTTTCATTATATATGGAGACATATTACTAAGGAAAAGTTGAACTGAAAATTTTGGTTGACAGTTTAAATTACTGTCTTTCGTGTGGCATTCGTGCCACAAGTATATTCTACAGCAATAGCCAGGTTCCCCATTATAACTCCATGAGGAGCTTTTTTATTCCCCCTGCATATTTGTGGTATTGAATATGAGCGAGGAGTGCCAACATAGTATGTATAATATAGCCAACCTAAAAATTGCTTAAAGTTTAGCATAATTGGCCTTCTACTTGATATAGCCTGTAGCTCATGTTTACTTTAGAATAAGATGTATACATAATTCTGTACTGAGCAAAAGGACCTTTGTTATACTAATTATATTTCCAACAGGCATCTCAGAAGTAAGTTATTAGTTGATATGTAGTGCTTATCATTTATTTACAAAATGCCTATTTTCCCTTCTACAGTATTATATATGACATAAGTAACCTCACTTATCTAGATAAATCCAGCTAGCTACCTACCAAATGCTAACTTTGACAGTACTTTCTGAAAGCTGGCATTAACCTGAAATACAGATTTAGATGATGATGGAAACTTTTTAATGATTGCCAAATTCATGGTTGTAAAAGAAGACAAATTGTTTTAGGGGTAAAAATTTTCCAGCTTCATGAAACCCACTTATATTTATTTGGGAGAAAAGAGACCAGACATTTCTGGTTTGACCTTTCCAGAAGTCATTAGTTCCAACTTAACTAAATTGGAACTCTTAACAGGTAAAGATAAATATCTGAATCTGGTTGGTACCAGAGTAGGAGAATAATTTAGTCTATACGTATGTTTTCCTCAAATTCAGACTCATTCATATAGATTTCATCTGGGTGGGAGAGAATAGGCTTCAATACTGTTTGGAAATCACACAGACTTCTGTGGGGTTTTCTTGTTGCTAAATTAAAAAAATTTTTTTTAAGTAATCTCTACATCCAACATGGGGCTTGAACTTATGACCCTGAGATCAAGAGTTACATGCTCTACCGACTGAGCCAGCCAGGCATCCTCCCACAGATTTCTTGATAGTTGTACAGAAGTGGGATAGTGGGATGTCTGATCGAGCTGGTATCCTAAAACCCTATTGATATAATGCTGTTACAAAGTAATAGCTGGGGCAATTATCAAGAGACACAAGGAAAAGATAAAAGGGAAAGAAAGATAAGGTGAACAGGCAGGTAGGGGATAAGGGAAGAATAGGAGGAAATCAAAAGATTGTACACCTTGACATGGGGAGTATGATGAGTTAAGAGAATAAACAAAGGAAAGAGGCAAGACAAAATAGTGGTTCAGAAAAGAGAATGAAGAAAAGGAAAAAACCTGTTTTTTTGAGTGGTCTGGACTAACTAGTAAGGATAATGACCTGGCTTTTACATTTCTCAGAATGTTACCATAGTCCAAAACCTCTGAAATTGCTGAATAGGTGGGTCTTCCAAGCTGACGGAACTTTTGTTCTAGCTTTATTTTGTCCTACTTACCAGGAATCCTACTAGAAATATCCTGGGGAAATTTTAACTACTAATTCTAGGATAATGCCAGAAAACAGAAGTTTCTTATTGTCTTATATTGACACATAAGTAACTTTTATATTGTGTTTGCAGGAGCCGCATAACAATTACACAAGCTATTTTAGACACTATATGTATCTTCCATAGTCCTTTTTTGAGATTCTTAAACTCACTTTATCCTGTTTTGATCATATAAGTTATGGAACAGTCTCTAAAAGCCATAATAAAGTATAATAACACATTGATAAGGAGTACTTAAAACAAATATTTTGTAAATAATTTTCATATATTATGACTTTCAAAACAGTTGTATAACGAGGAGAGAAACTGCAATATGTGTATGTGGTTTGTCAAAGGCTACTGTCTAAGAACCAAACAAGAACAAACAGGCCTCCTCACAGGCCTGGATCCAGAGATTCTCAGTAATAACATTTTTTATTTTATAAAAGATAAAACAATACTATAGCAGATCAAGCTCTTGTAAAGCTTATCATATCTAGCTAATGCTTCTGAAGTTTTGCTTTTTAAGCTCAATATGGTTTTCTTATAATTGGTCTCCCTTTTTAGTTTTTTCCTTAATTTTTTATTGTGAAAATTTTCAAATATACAGAAAATTTGGAAAGTACTACAATAAATATCCTTACATCCTCTACCTCGATTCAGTAACTTGACCCTAAGTTTCAAGAAAGCATTGCTAGTGGACCTCATACTAGCAGAATACAGTATACTACTTGGAAAATAAGATTAACTAATATGCTGAGAGGAAGTGCTTAAAAAAAAAAAGTGATTCCTTTTATTCCAAGCATTGTTTCAGGAAAGATTGATGGCTCCCAGTTTAGTAGAGGCTTGCATAATTTAGTTTTGTCTGTGAGGTTTCAATATTTGCTATGTAGTTTCTTATTAGGTATCTACTTTGGAATTCCTGAATCCAGAGACGCCTCAAAGCAGGATGGAAATTTAATTTAAATTCCTTAAGATACAAAGTATTATTAACTTTTTTTTTTGTTCTTTAATGGGATTTGGAAGGAAATCATGGGTAGTATCTTGAACAACTTTATATTCCTACCAATTAAATTCAAAGCCTTAATAGGAAAGTTTCTTTGAATAGTTTTATTAAAATTAACTTTTAAGAGTAAATAAATGAGCACCTTTTGCATTATAATCATTTTGAGTTGATCATTTAAAAACAAGGGATTTCTAGGAGAGAGAAGTCTAATACACATATGTAGGTTTTGCTTTTTAGTTTAAGACTACTTCCTTTGTAAGTATTGACTTTTCCATAGTCTACCTTGAGTGTAGATATCATGAGTATTTGCCTAAAAATAAATCTGTGGTGGTGTTATACAACTATGCATTTGTCAAAACTCACAGAACTGTATACCAAAAAGAATGAATTTTATTGTATGTGAATTAAAAGTATATTTAAAAACACACATGGCAGGAAAATGAGGTTGAAAATGAGAAGTGGTAGATAATTAGATATATATTTGCTATAATTAGCAAATAGATAATTAGATATATATTTGTTGGTATAAAACTTGGGAAATTTCTAATTAGTGGGTAAAAGATTTTTGTCCTTCAAAATTTAGACTTTCTTGGTTTTTAGAAACACATTCAAAGGAAAAAAACAAATCTTGGAAATGTGTTTGCTATTGTACACTGAATTTGACAGTGCTTAAGTTGAGATTTTATTGCTGGAGAGCAATAATTTTTTTCACATAAAGTTTCTAGACTTCTATATTGGTAAAGAAGATTAGCTGTAGAAAAGATGGGATATGTACTTTAGTTCCTACAAAGGAGTATGTTTTATTGACTTCTCCAGATTTTTACGTGTTAGCCACATTTTAAGAAAAGGATCTGAAAGTTCCTTTACTGCAAAGTATACTCTTCACTTAGCCTAAAAACATTATTAATTATCCATTTTCCTTTAAAACTTTTGAGGCAACAAACTTTCTATGGATTTTTGGATTCGGCTGTCTCAGTTTTCTCTAAAGTCGGCTGTGGAAGTGGTCACATTAATTTGGTCATAGAGAAAGTTTTGAGTATAAAGAGAAGAAAAGAAAATGTTTAGCTTTTAAAGTGAACAGAAATAAGAATCTTTAAATTATAGGGGCACCTGGGTGGCTCAGTTGAGTGGCTGCCTTTGGCTCAGGTCATGATCCCGGGGTCCCGGGATTGAGCCCCACGTCGGGCTCCCTGCTCAGCAGGGAACCTGCTTCTATCTCTCTCCCTCTGCCTGCCTCTTTGCCTACTTGTGCTCTTTTTCAAAAAAATAAATAAAATCTTTAAAAAAAATAAAAACCAAAATTTGTAAGCTGCATCACTAAAAATGGAACTGGATCCACCATAATTTTGATGCAAATTTTTATTTTTTAAAAGATTTGAGAGAGAGAGAAAGAGCGCTGGGGGAGGGGCAGAGGAGCAAAGGAAGAGGGAGACAAGCAGACTGCCTGCTGAGAAAGGAGCCTCACACGGGGCTTGATCCCAGGACCCTGAGATCATGATCTGAGCCAAAATCAAGTCAGTCGCTTAACCAACTGAACCACCCAGGTGCCCCTTGATGCGAATTTTTAAAAAGGGACTTTCTAAATAGTTTTTTCCTTTTTTCCTCTGGTTCATTTTCAGAGCTATAAGGTGATTCATGGCTTTGGGATGACTGTTTACTACTAAATTTTCCCATGTATGACATATTCCTATTTATTTTTTTAATACTTGATTGCCTTAAAATTCTTTTTGCCCCCTATTGCTGTATCTTTTTCAGTTTTCTTCACATCTTCTTTGCCTTGGGTGCCCATTTTTTTCCTTTGCATTCCAACCACTTGGTATTTTTTGTTTTTCCTCTTATTTATTTAATATGCTTGGATAAGATTCTCTGGAAATATTAACCTTGCAAGAATGAGTAAATTAGTTTACTTTATTGAATGCTGTCCTCTTATTACTTTCCTGTTTCTACTACCTTCTCCAAAATCTAGTTTTAGCATAGAGTTCTTAGGTGAAAGAGGACAAAGAGCAGTGGAGATGATAAAATATAAAACAGGACTAAGGTAGGAGGATCATCAAAAGTTTTCTTTTCTCTGTTCTAGAGTCAGAATTTTTTTTAAAGATTTTATTTATTTGACAGAGAGAGAGAGAGCAAGCATAAGCAGGGGGAGCAGCAGAGGGAGAGGGAGAAGCAGACTCTCCACTGAGCGGGGCCCGATGTAGGGCTCCATCCCAGGACTCTGGGATCATGACCTGAGCTGAAGGCAGACACTTAACTGACCAACCCTTCTAGGTTCCCCTAGAGGCAGAACGTTTTACAGCTGCTTCATAACTTCTCTCAGGGAGCACACTAACCTGTCTTTATAGCCGTTCTCCCAATGCCTTTGAAAGGTCTTATGATTTCTTATATCACAAAAGATTGTTCAGAAAAATCAGCTCATCACATATTTTTGCCTTTTGACATTAAATTTGACAGAATAATCTTTGCTTTAATTCTGCATATAATTTTATAATTTATTATACCTTATCCCTCACAACTAAATGTAAAGCCATAAACTAATTAATTAGCCTTGCAAACTCAGCTAATCTTTTAAATACTATTTATCTTCTAGATTGTAGCTCTAATTGTGACTCTTAAAATTAGTGCTAAAATTTATTTACTTATTTTTGATTATAAGAATGGTCTGTAGATTATTAGACCCTGTTTTATTTATTAGTTTGGTGGTAATGTGATGTAATTTGTCCCTCAGTAAGCTGAATGAGGACATAGTTAGCACTATATTTGGATTTAAAACTTTAGGGATAGAAGTTTTAAAATGTACATTTTAAAATAATAAACTTGAACTGAGAAATGGTATTCTCTAGGTCAGGAATCTCAAATTTTTTTGTCTCAGGATGACTACACTCTTAAAAACCGAGGATCCCAAAAGTTTTTGTTTACAATGTACTGTATATAGATATTTATTGTATTGAAAATTAAAACAAAAATTTAAAATCTTCATTTAAAATAACGATAAACCTATTACATGTTAACATTTGTGAAAAATAACATTTTCAAAACAGTTGTGGGAAGAGTGGCATTGCTTTACATATTTATAGGTCTCTTTAATGAATTGCTATTAATAGATTATAACTGGAGTCTTCTGACATTACACCTGTTAAAATAAGTAATTTTGGTTGAAATATACAAAGATCATATTTGGCCTTGCACAGATATATAGTTGGTGAAGGGAGGAATATTGGCCTTTCTGATAATTGTGGATCTTCTTTGATACTATACCAAAACTCAACAAGTGGTAGTTTCTGAAAAGTTGCAATATGGAATCTGAAATCATATTATTGAATGTGTTGGTCTTTTGATCTTTTGCCCAAGCATGATTTATAACATGCATTGGTGATTTGAACCAGTTAGTTCATTGTGTTATGCAGATCTCCAAATGTTAACATTTCATTATACAGTAATCTCCCCCCTAAAAAAGTAAAAGCCCCCATTTGTTAAAATTACCACTTATTTCATTAGAAAATAATTAATGGGAAGTTATCAAGCACTTAAGTGGCAAAAATGTTTTCCAAAATTCTAATTTTCACTCAAAAACTTTTACCATTTGTTTTCCTTGAAGTGAAGAGCTATTTTGTTCATTTTTGAGAAGATGTCTGCTTTACCTAAGTCTAAATAGCCAGTTTGTCATTCATTCTTTATATAAAAATTGTGTTTCATAAAAAAAAGCAGCTGGTTCAGATTGTGACTCAATCATGTAATTGCTTTTTCTCCAGACAGTATCTGTTGGGTGCAGCACTCAAAATATTAAAAAGGCATGTACACAGTGATCAGGATTTAATAAAATGAATAATTTTTGCTGCTTCATAAAGAACATTCTTAAACGAAACTGGCTACCCCCACCCATACTGTGGGTATGTGGTAATGAAGAATACAATAACTTGTAATACAGTTTGGTGCTGCCTTTTGCCTTGTTTCATTCCTGCTAAGGCTTCAGCAGTGTCTACTCACCATTGCTTTTACAGTGCAATTGTGAACATGGTGCCAAAAGTAAATATCATCTTAGTATTATTGTGAAAAAAGTATTGACCTTCACAAATGACTTGAAAGAGTCTTAGGAACACCAGATTTCAGCCCACATTTTGAGAATTGATGCACACTAGACAGTTGTGGTGGTTTAAAAGAAAACATTTAATTCTGTGAAGAATGAATTGCAACTCATGTTTTTACTTACGATTTCAATAATTGTAATCTTGCCTCTGAAATAGAAAAATTTGCCAATTTTTAATAAAAGCCTGCACAAGATGCATGCTTGAATTTATATTTCTGTGCTTCTTTATTTTAAATAGCATACCATTTTATAATTGTGGGCCCAGACTAAAGAGCTCATTCTATTCAAACACTGAGTAGCTTTGTTTCTGACAGCTAGTAGTCAGCTTTCTGTTTTAAAACAATCAGTTGGGTCCTGCTGGCTCAACTTGCAGTTGTCCTAGACCTAACCCTAATCTCAGCCAAAGACTGGTGCTGGAAAGCCCACACAAAGGCCTTGTGTAAGGGAGTCCTGCTAATAAGGAGGGTGTTCTAGTCCCAGCAGATTAAATCTGCTTTGGTGTGCATTCCCTTCCCAAATTTCTCACTCATTTCCTTTGTTTGCCTGGCTATTTCAGTGAGAGATCATTTTTAATGCCTCTGAAGATAGTTTCTTCTGATTATTACATAGTCTGAGTGGAGGGGATTACTGGAGTAAAATGTTTCTTTCTCTATGGTAGGATGTGATGGAGCTGCTTGAAGAAGATCTCACGTGCCCAATTTGTTGCAGTCTGTTTGATGATCCGCGAGTTTTGCCTTGCTCACACAACTTTTGCAAAAAATGCTTAGAAGGGATCTTAGAGGGGACTGTGCGGAATTCCTTGTGGAGATCCTCTCCATTCAAGTGCCCTACATGCCGTAAGGAAACTTCAGCTACCGGAGTCAATAGCCTGCAGGTTAATTACTCCCTGAAGGGTATTGTAGAAAAGTATAACAAGATCAAGATCTCTCCCAAAATGCCGGTGTGCAAAGGACACTTGGGGCAGCCTCTCAACATTTTCTGCCTGACTGATATGCAACTGATTTGTGGGATCTGTGCTACTCGTGGTGACCACACCAAGCATGTCTTCTGTTCTATTGAAGATGCCTATGCTCAGGAAAGAGATGCCTTTGAGTCCCTCTTCCAGAGCTTTGAGACCTGGCGTCGGGGAGATGCTCTTTCTCGCTTGGATACCTTGGAAACTAGCAAAAGGAAATCTCTACAGTTACTGACTAAAGATTCAGATAAAGTAAAGGAGTTTTTTGAGAAGTTACAACATACATTAGATCAAAAAAAGAATGAAATCCTGTCTGACTTTGAGACCATGAAACTTGCAGTTATGCAAGCCTATGACCCCGAGATCAACAAACTCAACACCATTTTGCAGGAACAACGAATGGCCTTTAACATTGCTGAGGCTTTCAAAGACGTGTCAGAACCCATCATATTTTTGCAACAGATGCAGGAGTTCAGGGAGAAAATAAAAGTAATCAAGGAAACTCCTTTACCTCCCTCTAATTTGCCCACAAGCCCTTTAATGAAGAACTTTGATACCAGTCAATGGGAAGACATAAAACTAGTAGATGTGGATAAACTTTCTTTGCCTCAAGACACTGGCACATTCATTAGCAGGATTCCCTGGAGCTTTTATCAGTTATTTGTGGTAGTCATTCTGCTTAGCTTTCTTATTTTCTTTGGTCCCACCATATTCCTAGAAGGGTCTTTATTTGATGAATTCACAAGTTGGAAAGACCATCTCTCAAACTTCAGTTCCTATCTGACTAAATCAGCTGATTTTGTAGAACAATCAATGTTTTACTGGGAACAGGTGATGGATGGGTTTTTCATTTTCAGTGAAAGATTTAAGAATTTTACTTTGGTGGTGCTGAACAATGTGGCAGAATTTGTGTGCAAATATAAACTACTATAAAATCTGTTGCAAGTGTATGGTTCTCTGTCTTTTGTTAGAAATTTGTTAAAGAGCTGAGTGGTAGTTCAGATTTGGTCAAGATTTCAGTCAGATATCTTCCTGCAAAAGTATTCCTTTCAAAAATAATGTCCTATACGTGTTGTTCAAATTAGGTAGCATAAAGATAAATGTGAGATTTAATACTAAGTCCTGAACCCTCCTTCCTTTTTAAATAGTGCTTTTGTAATACTCCTCCTACCCCCAATATTGGTTGTGTTTATGCTATGGAAAAGAGGTGAAAGAAGAGCACATGATCTAATATTATGTAAATGAGGTAGTGTAACAGTGATTGTTCATTTAAACATGTAATAAAGACTACTCTTGTGAAGCAACTTTTTTGGAGACGACATTCTTTTAAAAAAGAAGATATGGGTGGATTGGACTTCAAATTTTTCTAGATTTGGATTTCTAAATTTTACGTTTTTGCTAAAATGTAAATCTTAGGTAAACAAAAAGTGGCATTTTTCTTGCAATAAGTTTACATTTTTAGGAGGAATCTTGCCTTTTTCTCCTTCGGTTTTGTAAATTTGTCACCAAAGGAATTCAGAGGAAATCTTAGGTGGCTGTGCAAGCAAAGGCGTAGGTAAAAAAAAAAAAAGTCTAACACATGGCAAGAACAGGAAATGGGAAAGCCTTCTTTTTATTGGCAGCTAAGTGTTGTGTTGTTCCAAAGTATCATGGCAACTGTACAACCAAACCATCCACTGCTTAACATCTTTTTAAAGAGTAGTAAGATTAATTTGACAATAGATGGAACAATCTTTCAGCTATTATAAAGTGTAAAGTAATCAGCTAAAAACAAATGATTTGTTAACTAGAATTTAAATAAAAATTTAAAAAAATAGCAATACATACATACATACTACTGGGGGAAAAATAAAACACTAATGCTCACATAAGATAAAGATACCTCCCACAGATTTTTTTTTTAAAGAACTAGGTAGTTTTTTAAAATTTATTTGAGAGTGATAGAGCAAGAGCAAGGAGGAGAGTCAGAGGGAGAAGCAGACTCCCCACTGAGCAGGGAACCCGACGTGGGGCTCAATCCCAGGACCCTGGGATCATGACCTGAGCTGAAGGCAGATCCTAAATGGACTGAACCACCCAGGTGCCCCCTACCTCCCACAGATTAAAAATACTTGCTTAGAATCCAGATGAAAACAAGAAGTGATCTCATGTTAGAACTGCTCTCTAGTCCCTTATTTCTGACATGGAACAAGACATTCCTTGGAAAGCCCAGAGTGTCTTTACCCTGCCCTTTAATTTGGTTGAGAGGAGGCAACTAAATTTAAAGAACAGAAGAATCCACCTATGAGAATAAGAGTCAAATTAAGCTGCTAGTTGAGGTAATGGCTGCCTCATCCATAACTGACAATTCATGATTTAGCCACTAAATTGCTAAAGGGTTCATAAATTATGATAATGTTTCTCTGTAAATCTTACTTCTGCCATGACAACTCATTGTAGATAGGTCTGGGGAAAGGGGAATGCTTTTCTGCTCCCACTATTTTTTTTTTAAAGATTTTTTAAATCTTTAAATCTTTTTTTAAATCTTTAAATCTTTTTTTTAAAGATTATTTATTTGAGAGAGAGGGAGCAAGAGAGAAAGAGCATGAGCAGGGGGAGGGGCAGAGAGAGGAGAAGCAGACTCCCCACTGAGCAGAGAGCCCAATGTGGGGCTCGATCCCAGGACCCCTGGATCATGACCTGAGCTGAAGGCAGACGCTTAACCAACTGAGCCACCTAGGCACCCCTCCCAGTACTTTTTTTTTTTAAAGATTTTATTTATTTATTCATGAGAGACGGAGAGAGAGAGGGGGGGAGAGAGAGAGAGAGAAGCAGAGGGAGAAGCAGGCTCCCAAGGAGCAGGGAGCCTGATGCAGGACTTGATCCCAGGACCCTGGGATCATGACCCGAGCCGAAGGCAGACGCTCAACCATCTGAGCCACCCAGGCGCCCCCTCCCAGTACTTTTTTTAAAATAGAGATTTACGGGGCGCCTGGGTGGCTCAGATGGTTAGGCGTCTGCCTTCGGCTCAGGTCATGATCCCAGGGTCTTGGGATCGACCCCTGCATCAGGCTCCCTGCTTGGCGGGGAGCCTGCTTCTCCCTCTCCCTCTGCCTCTCCCCCTGCTCATGCTCTCTCTCTCTCTCTGTATCTCTGTGTCTCAAATGAATAATAATAATAAAAAAATCTTTAAAAAAAATAAAAATAAAATGCAGATTTACATAGGTTTTCATGGATATATATATTTTTTTAAATGGAATACAGGAGAGGGATCTACTTGACATCTATCCTTAGAAATATTGGCAGTTTTTCTTAAATAATCCAGTTCCTCATCTGTTCCTTTTTCATTTTGTATACTGCAAGTTCCCAAGCAACTCAAATTTGCAAACACAGCTATGGATACACTATTACAGTAGTTAGGAGGGAATCTGGGTCTCTGTTTTTTGTTATTTTCCCCTCCCCTCCATTTTTTAATCGTATATAACTAGCAACATTTATGGCTAGAGTTTGATTTACAAGTTTCTAAGTCTGTAGCCTCTAGTTTGAAGCAAGAAAAGAATGAGTAGTCAGGAACTGGTCACTTTGAACGTCGGAGGGAAGATATTCACAACAAGGTTTTCTACCATTAAGCAGTTTCCTGCTTCTCGGTTGACACGAATGATAGATGGCAGAGACCAAGAATTCAAGATGATTGGTGGCCAGATTTTTGTGGACAGAGATGGTGTTCTATTTAGTTTCATCTTAGATTTTTTGAGAACTCACCAGCTTTTACTACCCACCGACTTTTCAGACCATCTTAGGCTTCAGAGAGAGGCTCTTTTCTATGAACTGGATCCTCTGGTTGATCTCTTAAACCAAGAACACCTGCTGCAGCCAAGACCTGCTCTTGTGGAAGTGCATTTCCTAAGCCGAAATACTCAAGCTTTTTTCAGGGTGTTTGGCTCTTGCAGCAAAACAATTGAGATGCTAACTGGGAGGATTACAGTGTTTATAGAGCAACCTTCAGCACTGACCTGGAGTAGTAACTCTTTCCCTCCTCAGATGACCTTACTTCCACTGCCTCCACAAAGACCTTCTTACCATGACCTGGTTTTCCAGTGTGGCTCTGACAGCACTACTGATAACCAAATTGGAGTCAGGTATTTTGTACTTTGAAGTATCTCTTCTATATCAGTTCCTAATGTTTCCCCTCAAGACTGAAAGTTTCTCATGGCTGAAACTTTTCTTGGAAAAAATTATTACTCAAATGTTTTGGGGGTAATAAGTAGAGTTGAGTAGAATGATCAGATAATTATTGTCCAAACTGGGCTATTTTTCAGAGTGAAAGAGGGTATTGTTATTATGTGGGACAGTAGGAATAAACCAAGACTGTCCAGGGAAAATTGGAACTATGGTCATTCAAGTTGTAAGAGGAAATAATTTTATAGATTATGTTCTATTGCTAGTGAATTTGGCTTAGGACTGAGACAACACCTTTCTTTCCCCCAAGAGATTCTTTTAGTGGCTGGCATATGGTAAAGTCTCAGTAGTTTCTCTTGATTTCCTTACACTCTATGTATATTTGTTCTTTTAGTCCTTATGATTTGACCACTGATTTTCCTCCATCTCACTTTATTTTTAAACACCATTAAGGCAGATATATCCCATAGCTAATTTGGTATCCTATTACATCTTTGGCACTCTTAGACAACTCAAAATATTGGGATAGGCTGTCAGTATGTTAAGGATAGTTGCTCCTGAGTCAATTATTCACTTTCTCCCCCTGTTGTTCTTGGCTGAACGCTAAGGCTGATTTCTACTCTGCTGTCAGGGACACTTTTTTTTCTCCTTAAAAATGTCTTAAAGCTGTCCCACCATTATTTTACTAACTGTGAAAACTGGCTTTAATTTCCAGGAGGAAAAAAAAAGTAGTCTGCATATATTCTTTACTGATACTATTTAAAATGCTTTTTTTGCGGGGCGGGGGGAGAAAAGGTAGACATAGTTTGGGATATTTTCTTGACTTCAGCAGTCGTCATCAGGAACTATCAATGTTTGCCTCTCCCACGACACACCCCTTTGTTCTACTTACCAACTGAAGAACACTGGGCAGTATGACAATTCTTCAGTTTCTACACTTAATAATTTCCTGCCCTCCCAAAAAAGGTTGAAATGTCACTTTGGGAAAAGGGAGCCAGTTAAATTAATAGGCTGATTGTGAAGAGAACTTAAGACCCGATCTTTATCTCAAAGTGTTTTAAGATATCTCTGTATACACCTTTCTTTTCCCTGGTGGGGCACTAACATGAATAATTCAGAAGGGAAAACTATCAGTTTTTTTTTTTTAATTTGATTTAATGATTAAGATCTTTGAGGATCGGGGTGCCTGGGTGGCTCAATCGTTAAGCGACCGCCTTCGGCTCAGGTCATGATCCCAGGGTCCTGGGATCAAGCCCGGCATCAGGCTCTCTGCTCAGTGGGGAGTGTGCTTCTCCCTCTCCCACTCCCCCTGCTTGTGTTCTCTCTCTCACTGTGTCTCTCTCTGTCAAATAAATAAAATCTTAAAAAAAAGAAGATTTTTGAGGATCCCTTTTAAAAAAAGATAGAAACCCCAGGAAAAATGGTATAATTAATTTTAAGAAGAAACATGCAAGGTAAAAAGATCCTGGAAATACTAAACACTTAAAAATCTATGCACGTGGAGAAAATAATTGAAAAAAATATGCTGAAAAACAAGATTAAAAACTAAGGTTGGAATATTCTTGTATGTACAGTGCCAAGTGTTTTTACCTTTGCTAAGTGTTTGTGTTTTAGAAATAGTACAAATTTTTTTCATCTTAATGTGAGAATGGCATTATATTCAAACTTCCAATATAGATAATTCCAAAACCAGAAGTTATTTTAATAATTAAATTTTTTCATCACCAAATAGTATTCATTTGCTGGAAGTTCAGAATTTTTTTCCATTCTATAGGTGTTTACAATTTTTTTCTATCACGCCAATTTCAAGGTAGAGATGGATAACCTGAGTAAGGGGACATTATTGGGATTTCGGGTGACTGTATGAAAACTCTGGCCCTGAAAGGCCCACCTTAGGTATATAACTGCCTGGCTAGCCATCATTTTTATTTCTTGCTCACTCCCTGTTCTGAATCATCCATTCAGATGTTTTTTGAAGGTGGGAAGTGGAGGAGTAAGCCTGGATGGCTCCTAAGAGTCTGGTGTATCATCCAGCTGTTCAGTATGTTCCATTAATATGATTCACCACTCTAAGATCTTGTTAACCCAGCAGATTGCTCAGTTACTATCTCTCAAGTTCACAGAATGAGAAATACTTGGCTTGCATCTTGCAGAAAGTCATTCATATGATACCACATTATCAAGCTCAAGTTATGGTCATAGGATTCTAGAGTCTCTGGTAGCCTTTATTCTATCTGACCTTTCCTTTTTAAATTGGATCAAATGGAAAAGTGTAGTTGCCTTTTTTTAAAATAAGATTTGATTTTCTATTTCTCAATGCATTCACTCTTCTACCCTTTCCTTCTGCCTTAAAATCTTTCATTTCTTAATTTGACCTCCTAGGGAATCAAGTACTATTGCTCAGTGATTTCTTGCAAGTGTTTGTGTCTTAATGTGAGATATGCTATGATTTTCTTCTCTTTAATAAATGTTTCTAGGCTACACAATCAAGATCTGGGGTTTGGGACTAGATGGAATGATCTCCTAATGTGAAAAATTTGCTGTATCAAACATACTAAACATTTTTTGATATGTACTTTGTACTTTTATAAATCTTACAGTATTTTCTTTGCCTAGAATTAATTTCTAAACATGAGCTAAAATAACCACTCTATTTTATTTATTTTATTTTTTAAAAGATTTTATTTATTTATTTGACAGAGAGACACAGCGAGAGAGGGAACACAAGCAGGGGGAGTGGGAGAGGGAGAAGCAGGCCTCCCACCCTGCTGCGGGGATTGATCCCAGGACCCTGGGATCATGACTTGAGCCGAAGGCAGACGCTTAACAACTGAGCCACCCAGGTGCCCCAATTAACCACTCTGTTTTAATCATAGTTAAAAGGAGGCAAAGGATGTCGTAAAGGCTCTTTTTATGCCATAAAACTACAGAGAATTTAGGTTTCTTTGTGGAAGTAAGTTTGTCTTTTCTTCACATCTCATAAACAAATGGTGAGAGGACTCAAAGACATAAAAATATCCTTGATGCTATTTAAAGGGGTAATATAGCTGTATCTATGTGGACATGTTATGTTGACATTATTAAAACTAACATACAGCCAATCTGAAAAGTTCAGGTTGGCTTTTTTCTTGAACTATGTGTATTGGTTCTATAGAATCTCCTAGGAAATACAGAGTTTTGTCATTTTTACTCCAGAGGCCTTTTGACCCCATGCTTTACTCTTTAACAATGGATAGTTATTGAGTAAAAATTGACAATAAAATCTTGACATTTTTTATCTGCAAAATTGTACCTGAAAAAATGTATTTGATAGAAATAAGTCACAAAAGAAAAAATTTGTAATGTCAGTGCTAATAATGGGTAGAATTAAATCTAGGAGGGGAAACTAAATGTATAAAATATTCATTAAAATGATTGTCAATTCATTTAATTAAGCTGATTAAAATAATATTTTGTAAATTGAAAACAAAAATTAGAAATTGTTAAATTATATAAAAAGTTAAGCTAATTTGTTTAATCAAATTGTTTGCTCCAGAAAATAATTTCTCAATGAAAATTCATCAGTGTTGGTTATATTCCTAAATGTGGATTTAAGTGACTTTGGAGTTCACAGGAAGGTCTTTATTTTCAATACTCTGAAATTACTAATTTGGATTTATAAATGAAGTCTCAAAAAAAATCTGATCAAAAATGGTATGATGCCTTTATTTGAGGTTATAAGTCAAATTGATGTGTTTCGTTTTGCTAGTTATTAAAGGGATGCTTTATAATCAAACGTCTGTTGTGTGTCCTAGGTATGTTTCTATAAAACCTGATAACCGAAAATTGGCCAACGGAACTAATGTCCTCGGGATACTAATCGACACCTTATTAATGGAAGGCTTCCACCTAGTCAGCACTAGAACATTACTCTCTGAAGACAAAAGTGAATGCTATAGCTTTGAAAGGATAAAAAGGCCTGAAGCTCTCACCATGAACAAAACACTGAAACCAGAGACTACCATCATGTCAGAGCAATCTCAGAAAAAGAAATGAGGTTCCTGTTCCCTTTTAGAGGAAAGAGAAATTGCCATTTTCTTGTTTGGAAATTCCATATTTATGGCATGTATGTTAGTCATATATGTACTCATTTTAACTTCTGGCCTTGTCTCCCAGCACACCGTCTCTGGCAACCATACCTCACCGGTGCTTAAGCCACACTAACTGCTTGCTGCTCTCTCAATAACACTGTGCACTTGGTGCTTTGGCACATGTTCCTTCTACCTTCAATGCCTCTTTCCCTTTCTTTTCTTCATGAACACTTACACAGCTCTCAAGAATGGGTTCTGGAATCAGACTGCTTGATTTCGAATCCCAACTTAATCAGTTACTACCTATATGACTTGGGCAAGTCATTTAAGCTCTCTGTGCCTCAACTTCTTCATCTATCAAATGGGGATAATGTATCTCTTTATAGGATATGTGAAAATAAAAGGAGATAATGTAAAGTACTCAACACACTGTCTAGCACATAGTAGACACCAAGTAACTGTTCGTTTTGGCGATGATGATGTTGAAGAAAAAGAAGACTGGTGGCCTACTTTGAATTGTACCTCTTCTGTGAGAGTGAGGCCTTGTTTTCCTCATTTCCCAGGCATATGAATCAGCCCTTTCCTCTAAATAGACTTATATGCCATCATAAAAACAAACGTTTTTCACTTGAATGTGATCCCAATCCACTCAACGGTTTTAACACTACTACGTGTAAAGCACTGCTAAACATTTGGTGAGAGGAATAATAACTGTTACTAATTAACACCTACATTTGGTGAAAAGCTTCTGAATGACCTCTCCTAACATTTAAAATATACATATACTATGACTTAGTGATTCCTCTTTTAGGAATTCCTCATATATATGTGTCATTTTGAACACCAGAATAAACATCTAGAAAAGGAAACATTAAATCAAAGAGCACCAAACACACAGCAGGGTTAAAAACCTGCATGGAAGCAGTTGAGTACCTTTGTAAAAAGTACAATTAATTCATTCAAAGACATACGTTAAACATTTGTTAGACACCATACTAGGTTTTCAGGATTAAAAAATGAGTAAGACAAAAGTTCTTATTCTCAAAGAGCTCATATTCAAGAGAGAAAGTACATCATCTAACAGCAAAAGATTAGAAATAAACTCAAAGTTCATCAATAGGGAATGGGTAAATTATGGTTCATATAATGAAATACTATGTAGCCCTTAAAGAAGAATAGGGCAACAGTTTACAAACTAAGGAAAGATTGTCAAATATTGGTAAGTGGAAAAAAAGCAAGATGCAGAACAACGTATAAAGTGGGAAAATATATTTCTATTATATATGTGTGTATGTGTGCATAGTTTCCAGTTGTGGAAACATACTCATTTTCTTTTTTTTTTTTTTTAAAGATTTTATTTATTCATTCATGAGAGACAGAGGGAGAGAGAGAGAGAGAGAGAGAAGCAGAGGGAGAAGCAGGCTCCCAAGGAGCAGGGAGCCCGATGTGGGACTCGATCCCTGGACCCTGGGATCATGACCTGAGCCGAAGGCAGACGCTTAACCATCTGACCCATCCAGATGCCCAACATACTCATTTTCTTAAACATGCATAGAATTTTCAGCAAAGATATGGGTCACCTGTGTAGAAGGGAACAGGGTGAGTGGGGTTTGGTGTGGAAGGAAGATTTACTTTCACCAGATCATGTAGATATATTATCTATTTAAAAAAAAGAAGGGAAGAAGATACACCTGAAAGACTGTGGGTATGTGTGTGTGTGTGAAGGGGGAAGGGATTTTAGAAGGACTATAATGGCATAGTATGGACGATTATCTTAATATGGATACAAATGTTAATCTACTACTTTTCCTGTGAAAGCCCTCCACTTAGTAAAGAATTTGCATTCCAGAAATTTCTACCAATTACAGATTTGTATACTAGGTTGTAGAGAAGAAATAAATATTTTAAAAATTTCCTAACAGTATCTCAACAGGTTATGTATAATGTAAGTGCAAAATACTTCAAGATTAGTAAGGTCAAGGTTAGCAGTTGAAAATAATGACCCCAATAAGAGAAAAAGCCCTATGAATAAGTATTTTGTTTTTGGTGGCACTTATCCCCTCTTTTCTGTAGAAAAGCCAGTTTAGTTGTTTTAGTGTGTCATCTTAATTTTGGGGATGATGTGTTTGGTTCCCTTGCTAGCACCATATTCTAGGGCACAATATTTCTATTCTGGTAAGTTTTTGACATTTTGTGATTTAACTAGCTGGATATAGTTGCCATGGTTACATATGCAACACTGTTTAATTCTGTATAGAGCTTTGCTGATAAGATTATTAAAAAACTGGTAACTGGTTAAAAAATACTGAAACAAAAAATATTGTAACAGGTTGGCAAATAATAAGACAAGAAATGTTTGAACTACTGTTAGGGAATGCCTGGGTGGCTCAGTCGGTTAAGCATCTGTCTTTGGCTCAGGTCATGATCCCAGGGTCCTGGGATTGAGTCCCGCGTTGGGCTCCTTGCTCAGCGGGGAGCCTGCTTCTCCCTCTGTCTGCTGCTTCCCCTGCTTGTGCTCTCTCTCACTCACTCTTTCTCTCTCAAAAAAAATCTTTAAAATAAATTAATGTTAATATGTTCTCAGTCATTCATACTTGCACAAAACTACTTTGAGTTGAGAAATAAAATATTCTTTTTAATGTGTTAATAGAAACATATTACCTATGGAGACATAATATATATGACATTCATTCATTCACTCAGTAAATATTTATTGACATCTACTGTGTGCCAAATACTATTTTAGACATCGGATATACTGCAAGGAACAAAACAATGCCTTCCTTTCTAGAGTTTTTTCACAAAAACAATTCATAACATTGACAATGGGTTTAATCAGAATAACAAGTATTATTATTAGTTTCTCAAAAGTTATGAGTTCACAATGCAGAGGTTTTTAGAAGGAGATAGAATATTCCAATTTAAAAAATATATTATTCATTAGGGAAAGTGTACTTTCAGAGTAGATTGAGTTTCTTATTTTAGTAAATATTTTAGAGATTATTGCATCTGGAGACACATCTGTCAAGATCATCTCAGTAAGCCTTTTGTGTTTACTCTAAAATAGAGTGGGACATTGTCACTGGGATATCAAGATATGCAAAAAATAAAGTCTTGTTTTAGAAGGGGGGCAGGCAAATGTAGTTTGAAGAAAACAGGGATATATTAGATGCACCACAGGCAAATCAAAAACTCTTGCCTGCTTTAGAAAAAAAAAAACTTTAACATTTTCATACGGGTATCACTTCACTCTTAACTTCTTGACTGAAGTGATTTGTCAGTGTTATTTTAAATTATAAGAAAATAATGGCAGAAGCTTGTCTTGGGAAAACCACTCTGAAAACCTTCTATCAAATCATATGCACCTATCAATCCATCTCATATATATAAATATGAATCATCACAACGATACATTAAAGTCTGTCAGTCCTTAACAGGACCATTAGTAGTTGGGTCTCCCCAATTCTCCCACTTCTGTTATGTTTATTTTAGCTTTTCTCCATCACCCACAGTTTCATTTTGGATAAGGCACTAAATATCTTAGCTTATTCTTGAACCTCAATAATTTACCTTATAAGTGACTGGAAGTTGTCCCTAAAAACATTTTCTAAAAAGGAGATCTAATATTGAAATTTACTTTTGAATTTAATATACAAGTCATAATTACAAAGAGTTCTTAGGTTATGGTAAAGTTGGAATTAATTTGAGCTGCTTTCAAAATATATCTGAAATCAGGATCCCAAAATAACATAAAATAGTCAAAGGAAAGCAGCTAGAGAAATAATATATAGTTTAGGGAATCATAAGCTATTTCAAATTTATCTTCTATACTGCTAACATCTGATAAACTTCAGTTTTGCTTTATAAGTTTTTGTATTGGTTCTCTATCACAAATAATAGAAATGGTCACATCACCAGAAACCTTGCTGGGATAACAAAAGACTTGCTTAGAGCTCTTTAAATCTCCCATATTCTATTGTTATTTTTCCTCTGTGCTGGGGAAGTTGACTCCTTACCAGCAAGTTTAGCAATGCAGAAGAGCCACTATGAGGGAATTTTTAAAAATAAATTTAGGAAATTTTATTACTTTCCTGGTGCGAAAGAACTCATGGAAGAGAATAATGTGACATCAAACTTAGTGTTTCAAACAAAGTTCAAGAAATAGAGTTGACATGAAAATATATCACTAAAAATACTTAGATTTCTAGAATGCCAATGACCTAGTAAAAGCCATAATTAACTCACTAGCTTTGCCACAGAACTACACTTCAAGAATTATTAGGCTGCCTATCAGACCTATTAGAGGTGAAAATTTCTGTAAAAATTTCACCAAAAAACTCATTATGTCATAAATATTAAGCTTAGGAAATGCCTTAATATTTACCTAAACTATGAGATAGATCCAACCACAAAAATCTTTTAATGGCTAACACCTTACATGGTAAATGGGAAATAAGTATTAAGCATGGCACAGAATAAAAGGGCAACAACACACAGTAGAATAAATAGGACTTTGCTCCCTGAACTAAAATGTGCCTAAGATTTGTCTAATTATACAGAAATTTTAGATAGGCAGCATTCTGCACCTTCACATTTCATACTAATACCTCAAATCCAGAAATCATTATTTTTTTTAAGATTTTATTTATTTATTTGAGAAAGACAGAGCACAAACAGGGGGAATGGCAGAGGGAGAGGGAGAAGCAGGCTCCCTGCTGAGCAGGGAGCCCTAAGCAGGGCTGGATCCCAGGACCTGAGATCATGACCTGAGCAGAAGGCAGACACTTAACTGACTGAGCCACCCAGGCCCCCCAGAAATCATTATTTTAAAGTGGCTTTTTACTCTATCAGTTGAGTAAAACACACCCCAAACCAAGTGTTTCTATTTCACGTCACTCTCCATTATTTCACACTCCGATAAGAATCTGAATTTCTTTGGGTTCCCAAGTTGGAAGCCAAATAGGAGAAGTTTGTCTTACTCTTCTTGTAGTAAGACACCCCAAGAAAGTCTGGCTGCAATGTCAGAGCTTCTATGAGTTCTTTTAAGATGAGGCCTGGGATTGTGCTTTATACTGATCTGTACACTCCCCGCACAGCGCTGGACATCTAATGGTCTCAACTGAACTGAACTGAACAATTTGGAACACTGTAGGCTCAGTGAATAGGCACTTGAAAAAACAAGTATTATAGTAGATTCAAAGATGGATGACACTTTATGTAAAGAGTCTGAAGGA